GTGGGAGACTAAAGCCTCAATTGTGTAATGAGCTCCTCTTTTGGGGAGAGCTGTTTTTATCAGAGCTGCAAACCAGGACCCATTAGGGAAGTCAGAGTTGTTGGTGGGATTAGATTTGAGAAACTGCTGGATTTTAATCGTGTGCCGGGACCCCAAGTCTCTTCTGAAAACATGCATAGTTCCAAGAAGAGTCTAGCCTGTTGGTTAGGAGACCATAGTCCTATAAAGGGTTTATATGGAAACCCTGCGTGCAGAACCAGGGGCAAAAATCGACCAAATCCTGCTTCCTTACTAATGGCCTTGTGTGCTCCTTTCCAATGAGTGAAGGTTGGGAGCAAGGTAAGCAGGCGTCAGCTATAAATTTATACTGAGGAGGTCTAGAAAAGTTGCAATGTTTGTTTGCTTTCAATCCAAGAAAGAGTTACCATGTATGTGTGGTTTAGGAAAACCACAGCCACACTGTCAGCAATAACAGAGAATATGCAATCTGCCGTGGATCAAATGCTCTTTGAAAAAAGCACGGCAAGTACAGTAGGTCTAACATGCTACGTTTCATCACTAATTCCTTTTCCCTCCATTTCTGAGGATTATACACATTTCTGAGTGCTAATTTGGCCTGTTAGATGTTCTTCTCTTTTTTGCACTACCACAGAATCAAACTAATAAAGGCCTTCATTCTTCCAGGGGTGTAGGTTGTAGCCGTGTTGGGCAGACAAGGTTCCTTGGGTATTTTCCAACTATTTGGGTTGGTCTAATAAAAGATATCAGATTCACCCAAGGAACCTTGTCTGCCTTCATTCTTCCAGCGCCTATACGAGCATATGATTTCACAGCATTTTGATGCATTTCCTTATTGCTCACTATTGTAAATGTAAGTACCCACATAAGTGTTAGTTTGCAGAATGGGGACCACAAGTGAGCCAAGATCCACTGAAGTCAGTGGAAGTCCTTCCAGTCAGTTTAATGTGATTTGGATCAGACTTGCAGGACTCCATACCAAAATCCCCATTCACATCAGTGACATCAGGATGAAGACCTGAGGGCCCCAGTTCGGCATGGTACTTATTTATTTTAAATACCTTTAATATTTAATAATTGTAGGATTGCACTTATTTATGGCCATAGGTGTCTTAATTTAATTCATTATGCAGTGAGATCCCATCAGCACTTGAATACAACTGCATCCAGCCACCTACAGAAGTGCATCCTTCCCACTGCTACTATAGGAAACAGTGCCAGCAAAAAAACCCCCTCTCTAACTATAGTCCTTTGCAGCATGCAAGGAGGCCAAAAAGTGCAGACTATCAAGGAGTGGCACCAATGCCAGGGTCAGGAAATCTCCATAATCCTCCCCTGCCAATCACCTCCCCTTTGATGATAATGGGGATCCAGCTTTAATATCCTTCCTGGCTCCAACTGGGTAGTATGGCTGGGGAAAAGAGAGCGCTCCAGATCTGTGACTCATCTATATCACCCAGAGAGCCATGCACAGTTATGGCAGATCCTGGGGCAGTGGGATGTCCCTGCTTCGTAATAGAGCTGCTGTTTTCTTCATCAGCTCCAGTCTCCAAATGCATAGGCATAACTTCAGGGCCTGAAGAGTCCTACCAAAAAAACAGTGCTCAAAGTCAGGCAAGAGCCTCACATGAATGAATTGGGCCTAGAATAGTGAAAGAATAGGAACACAATATTTAAAAAAGGCCGATAGCATCTCCAGGGGTTGAATGCCATTAAAATACTTGCTCCTTGTTTAGTACTTTGAGATCTTCAGGTCCTGGAGAAATGGTAATAAACGTGATCATCCAAGATCATTGGAAGTGACTGAAGAAAGCCCTGAAACGAGGCAATGAGTGAGAGGGGTGAATACCTGCAGAGGGTAGTCTCCAGCAAGAACGCAACAAACTACACTCTTCATGCCAAGGACAAATTGAACCAAGATATATATAGTTTGAACATTTTGGTCAAGAAAGAGAGAAAGAAAGACCAGCACCGCTACAGTAAGCCCTTAGGCAAAGCCTGCCTGGGTTATAAAAAAAAGGAGAACTTAACTGGGTCTGTCCCTGGAGAACGCGCAGCTTTTCTAACTGTTTCCGATCTTCAACAGCTTCCCCTCTGCATTAGGATTACAGGGTTTAATTCTTCAAATTCCTGCTCAGGGTTTAATTCTTCAAATTTCCTCAGCAGGCAAGAAAATCCCCCTTTCGTCTCCCAGCACCAGGGATTTTCCATTCCCAACTGCCACTGGAATTTTTGGCGTCGCAAAGATCTCTCTTTGTTCAGGGCCCAGTGCCTGTCACATGCTTTTTGCTTTTATTCTCTGTTAAACAAAAACAGCTCGTAGCAAATTTTGGGTCGTCTTTGGCTGTGCTGCAGGAAGACACGGCTTTTCAGGATAGCGCTTAGGTGCACGCTTAAGTGAATCGGTCTTAACCCCGGGCTCAAAACGAAGGGCTTCCCCGCTTGGGACTCGTGTGTGCAGTGCACGCTGCGTCTCGAGATGCATGTTTCAAGGCGCTGTCAAACTTTATGGCATTTGTGTGGTTTGGAAGTTGGACAGATTTCTTTCTTCTGAACGCAGGGTTGAGGCTGCAGCCTTTTCATCTTGGCTGTCTTGCACAAGGGCACAGTAGGGTTTCTGTAACGCTGTCAACAGTGGTGCCACGTGTGCAGATTGTGCCTTCTCGCAGACCTTATTCTGAACTGCCTTTTGAGACTCACTAAATATGGCTATCCCACAAATACAACGGAGCAGGAGGTATTACGAACACCAACGGATGCTCTTCTTCCTAAGGGGCAGCATCGTTTAGGGGGAAAACATCATTGTGGTTGTCACCGGGGATTAAATCGTGTATGTCCAGCCCCAAACGCTCAGCTTCCTCGCCACCTGAACTCTCTCTTTCATACAGCAGCAGATATCAACTTCCAAATCCATAAGTCGCTGTCCGGTTTTATCGCCCAACGTGCAGATTCCTCCTATCCCTTTGCAAAGTTTGCAGCTTTCGATGAAGCGCTGTGCTGTCTGTTGAGCGCCGCCTTCGTGCAGGACCTGGCTGCCCAAAATGCTCACCATGCAGAGCGTTGTTTCGAAGCGTCCGTCTCCAGATCTCAGCCCGTTCAGCGTGACCTGCGCTTCTCTGTCAAGGCCGTGCCCAGTGCGGGACTCATTCGCCATCAGTATAAAAGGACTAGGTCTGGTGCTTCCCAGCGGTTGACCCATCGGTTTGGTGTAGCATCCCCAAGCTCTTCCAGGAACTTGTGGGCTTCATGCATAAATGATTTATGACTTTTAAGCCTCCTCTATATGGGTTTTTAGTTAACAGTTGATGAGGCAGGTGGTTTTCATTTGAAACAAGCCGTCAGGGAGACACTGAAGATAATTGCTAAAGAAGGCCAGAGTGGGCGGTAGGAGGGCAACACAGTCGCCAGATGCAAACGGGACTCAGTTGAGCAACTGTTTGGACTGGGCAGGCGCATTTTGCACGCCTGGTTAGTCACGGGAACAGGTCTGGAGACTCCTGGTCTCCTATCGATGCACAGGCCAGATCCAGCAAGGCCCAGGGCATCATGTGCACGGCCCCACAGCTTGCCACGAGGCTGGGTCCGGTGCAGGCTGGCCTCCCCAGGCTTGGCGGCTGCCCCTGTTCGGCTCAGGCCAGGCCCGTGCCAGGTGCCAGCTGGGGAAGATGTATCCTCAGGATGCAGGCAGGCCGGGCCAAGCCCTGCACAAGCCTGGAGTTGGGAGTGCGGGCGCGCGGTTGTGCGGTGCAAACTGTGTAATGGGTTTTTAGTGTGGTTTGAGCTGCCAAGTGAACCACACGGCAGTGTTGGAGGTGGAGTTTATATCTATCTATCGATAGATACATCTCTATCAATAGCTATATATGTATATCTATCTATCTATATATCTATCACTATCTATTCATAGGTATCTATCTATCTATCTATCTATCTATATCTATCACTATCCATTCATAGGTATATATTTATCTATCGATCTATATCTAGATAGGTTGGTCTAGACAGAGAAATATAAATATCTATCTATCTATAAAAATACATATTTTTGCAAAAGGACAAGTAAACCCCCTGCCCAGCCCCAATGGGAGCCACATTCCTGCCCCACAGGCCCCTGAGGGGCTCATGGGGGAGCCCGGCTGCCCTCTCTGCGAGCACTTCTGGGGCTGACACTCCCCCCCCCTCCCCTGCGAGGGGAAGGGAGGAGGAGGAGGAGGAGTGGAAAAAAAAAAAAGCAAAAAAGAAAACACAAAAAGCGCGCCTGTCTCTTTAAGGCGTTGCCGGCGCGCTTGCTCTTTATGTCCTTTCTCCC